TTGTACTACTTGGTGACATTTTTCACTGACTTCTGAGCCCGGTGATTTATCAAAGGGCAGCTGTTTGTCACACAAACAGCTTAGGACTTTAGTACATGACATAAATCTATTTGCTCTGACAGATGAGTTGGAACTATTTTTTCTACCCCTCTTTCTCTTTTAACTCCTTTCAAGATGTTCATAAATTATACATTCCTGAAAATTAGTTTCCGATTGTCACTTCATTTCTGATCTCAATGAATTCTTTTGGAGATGCACTCATGTCTTCACTCAGAAGGTCTTCTCTGAAGCCTCCCAGCTATTGAGAGATTTCTTCCAGGCTTCAAACAGCAATAAATGATTGCATCTGAAGTCACCACAAAAAAAGTGAAATAGATGAAATTTCTTCCCTTCCATGTGTCAGGAATTCCAGGGTTGAAAAGAATTCCTGAAATCCCTCAGACCCAATCATATGGAAGTTTCTGTATCTAAGATCCTTTGTATCTGTGTCTGTATCTCAACGAATACATAATCCTGGGCTTTGAAACCGAATTCAGTGTGCCTTGCAGGGCCCCCTGTGAGGTTATGTAGGTTGTATCGGCCCAAGAACACCAGGCCACAGAGGGAAGGAGACGCTGAAATGTAGTCTCCACTCAGCTGACGAGATGTGAAGCCACAGACCTGAATCTCCCCTGAGAGGGTGCTGTTCTTATTTTCACGAAGATGCTGCTAGCTCCCTGATTAAAAAAAAAAGAAGAAAGAAATAACACACACACACCCTTTATTTCCAAGAGATACCTAGTAGCAAGTCCCTCTTAGTAATGTTTTTCTTGTAACTATGCAATGAATATCTTCCAATGATAAATCATTTGTTTTCTTGAAGAGAGGTTAATTGAATATACTCAACCTTTCATTTGTGAAAATGGTATTTTCAGCATTTAACTGAAAATACAGTGATGACCCTGAAAGAACTTGCTCTTTGAGACAGAGTTCCCAGATTAGATACTGAGTTCCAGGATTAAGCTAAAAGGGAGTGGAACATGCTGGTATCATTTGGTAATGAATAATAAATGACCGAGAAAAATCTCAGTACAGACTTCTCTCATGGGCACGTACAGTGACTGTGTTGGTTGACTCTGACTCACTTATTTTGGCTAATGGTCATCACTGGAATGGTTAAAAATTTCTATTTTGTAGACAGCCAAAGTATATAGATCATGAACCTGAAGAAACAGGCAATCCTTACGCATCTCTAGAGGTGATGATGGGGCTGCCTTGCAAATTTCAAAATGCGAACAGGTGCGGTTTCTCCTAGGAGAGTAATTTTTTCTTAAGCTGAAATAAAAGTAATATTGAAAAGGATTGTTTCACACTGTCATATTTCCGTCAGTGTTCATTAGAGTCCCCCTTTCAGAAATATAGCATGTTCACATTATGCAAAGAATAAGATTCTAAACATGAATTTCCAGCAACTAAAAAATGGGCTCAATGTACCTACAAAGAGAGACTTGCCTTCGGCCTGTGTAAATGCATATTCTTGTTCTGACAAATTTCAAATTTACACAGAGGTAATTTTTCTTATATACAAGTTGATTTCTCTGCAAAATGCATATTCTGCAAGTGATATACACTTAAAATATCTGTACTAAGTTTGAAAGGACTGTTAGTTGTACCTAAGGGTGCAAAAATGGTGATATGAATCAGCATGCTTAGATAGAAAGCTGAAAAGTTGTTGTTTTATGTTGTCCAATATGGCAGTATACATTATCATTATTTTCTAGGAGAAGAACTTTCGGTACTGAAGTCGTTCTTCTCTGCCATCTCAGAGAAAAAACAAGAATTTACATTTAATCTTGCCAGTGCCCTCTACCTTCAAGAAGGATTTGCTGTGAAAGAACAGTATCTCCATGACAACGAGGAATTTTTTCAGAGTGCTATAAAACTGGTGGATTTTCAGGAGGCAAAGGCTTGTGCGGAGATGATAAGTACCTGGGTAGAAAGCAAAACAGATGGTAAAGTTCCCCATTTTCACAAAATCGTTATTTGCCATTGTATTCACGGTTTTTAATATCCTAAAGAGTGGCTGAATATGTTCCTGCTGCACCAGGGATCAGAGGGATCAAATCACTTCTTTCATTTCACTGTTATTTAAATGAATACTAAATTGTAAAACCGAGAGAAATGGTAAGGCGCTTTGAAAAGTATACTGGCTCTTTTATTATTGATTTGAGAGACCCCTAGTTATATAATTCCTAGCGAACGAGTATTAATAATAAGCTTTGTTCACGCCTATGTTTTTCCAAGTATGGAAGCAGAAATAATACCTTTGGCCAGGTAGAAGTTGTATCTGTCAATCCCAAATGCCTCCTTTCCCACATGTGCTGCAAATAATTCACACATTTCAGTTGAGTGTGTTCATTTTTAATAGCAAATCTTAATAGTCTTGACATAAGCATTGCAGTCAAAACTTTAAACACAAGCTAGCAAAAATTCCACGGTGACTGACTGAGGGATACAAGTTCAAAGTCATATAGACTTGAGTTCAAATCCTGCAGTTATATGCTCTGCCCCTTTAAAATAAGAACACTATTAAAACATTTCAGAGCTGGGTGCCCACATCTGTAATCCCAGCACTTTGAGAAGCAGAGATGAGAGGAACTGTGAGCCTAGGAGTTCAAGACCAGTCTGGGCAGCAAAACCCCCGTCTCTAAGAAAAGTTAAAAAATTAGCCAGTTATAGTGGCACATGCCTGTAGTTCCAGCTACCAGGGCACTAAGGTGGGAGGGTTGCCTGAGCCCAGGAGGTAGAGGCTGCAGTGAGCTGTGATTATACCACTGCACACCAGCTGGGGCAACAGAGCAAGACTCTGCCTCTAAAATCAACAACCCAACTAACAAAAAACAACAAAAAAAGGATTTCAGTATTTTTAGGAGTTTTAATAATAATGCATGCAAAGTGACAAGGACCTCATTACCAATACTTAGTTTGTTTTTTGGTTCATCTGGCAAACATTGTGATGATGTAAGAAACTGTTGTTGTTGTTTTTTGTTGTTGTTGTTGGAATCTCACTCTGTCACGCTGGAATGCAGTGGCACGCTCACGGCCACCGCAGCCTGACCTCCTGGGCTCAGGTGATCCTTCTGTCTCAGCCTTCCAAGTAGCTGGAACCACAGGCGCGCGCTACCATGCCCAGCTAATTTTTTTTTTTTTTTTGTAGAGACGAGGTCTCGACAAGTTGCCCAGGCTAGCCTCTAACCCGTGGGCTCAGACAATCCACTCGCCTCAGCCTCCCAAAGTGCTGGAATGACAGGCAAGCCACCAAGCCTGGCCTGTTGTACTCTTTACAGGGAATATAAATTGGAAATGTAAGCCGGCTGTGGCAAACCATGTTTACAGGGTTGCAGCATGAGAACCTCACTAGGCAGCTCCATGGCACCCCGACACGCTTCTTTCACATGATTTGGGAATGCACGTTGCACAGAGAAAGGGGAGACTGGTTGTTTAAGAGAGGAAGTCTCAGAGCAGACTCCATTCCTGCCCCTCTCTGATGGTTCCTGGCTACTGCTATGGTTCCTGGTAACATTCACTTACTAATTGTGACTTACCTGCTGGGGGACCTTGAAGTCAAGTCTGAGTGACACTAGTAAATATGCAGAAAGACATAGTTTAGTTTTGTTCTGTCTAAAAGACACTTGATGCAGATTGACTAGCTAGGTCCAAGGGTGCACCAAACGGGCATGTGTTTCCTGTTTTGCAGAGAGAGATTTAAGAGCAGCCAGGCAGGGTGGTTCAGCCTGTAATTCCAGCACTTTGGGAAGCTGAGGCGAGAGCATTGCCTGAGACCGGGGGTTCGAGACCAGTCTGGGCAACTTGGTGAGACCTTGTCTCTACAATAAATCACAAAAACAAGCAGAGCGTGCTGGTGTGTGTCTGTAGTCCCAGCTACTTTGGAAGACTGAGGCGTGAGGATCACCTACCCAGCAGGTAGTCTGCGGTGGCCGGGAGCATGCCACTGCCCTCAGCCTGGGCGACAATAGTGAGACTCCAACTCAAAAAATAAAAAAAAAAAAGAAATATTTAAGAGCCTTCTCCTCTGCCCTCAAAATTGCCTAGTTTAGATGAGAAGACACCCTGTCTCAAGGTGGCCTGCAAAAGATATTTTTGCTTTAATACTCTTCAAAGCTGTTCCATGGAGTGATCACCAGTGTACATGTCTTCCTATTTCCTCCTCCACCCCTGTCTTAGGAAAAATTAGAGATATGTTTTCAGGGGAAGAATTTGGCCCTTTGACCCGGCTAGTCCTGGTGAATGCTATTTACTTCAAGGGGGATTGGAAACAGAAATTCAGAAGAGAGGACACACAGCTGATGAATTTCACTAAGACAGATGGTTCTTCCGTCCAGATTCCGATGATGAAGGCTCTTCTAAGAACAAAACACGGTAATATGAGAAAACACACGTTCTGAAGCATGGCTTTGGGAGTTACCAATTTGAGTGGTATATCTGATATTTCATTTTCTCTGTTTCTCTGTGGCCAATTTGAAATTTTTCCTTGATATGTTATTCTCTCTGCGCCAGGTCATTTTTCTGAGTCTTCCATGAACTACCAGGTTTTGGAATTGCCTTATAAAGGCGGCAAGTTTAGTTTGATTGTAATACTTCCTGCAGAAGACATGGACATAGAGGTAGCAGAAAAACTAGTGACGGCCCCACAGATCCGGAACTGGGTCTCCAAGATGCAGGAAGAGGAAGTGGAAATTAGCCTCCCCAGGTTGGTCATATCATTTTATTACACGAGTTCTTATGATTCCGCCTATGCAAGGATTTGAATAATAGCCAGGCACGCTGGCTTATGCCTATAATCCCAGCACTTTGGGAGGACAAGGTGAGAGAATCGCCTGAGCTCAGGGATACAAGACCAGTCTGGGCAACTTGGCAAGGCCTCATCTCTACAATAAATAAAAAAATTAGTTGGGCGTGGTGGAGCATGCCTGTAGTAGTTCCAGTTACTTGGAAGGCTGAAGTGGAAGGATCGCCTGAGCCCAGCGGGTCAAGGTTGCAGTGGCCATGAGCAGCATGCCCTTGTACTCTAGCCTGGGTGACAGTGAGACTTCGACTAAAAAAAAAAAGATGAAGAAATTTAATAACAGCTGAAAGATAACAAATACTTGTAAAGGGTCTTGACACGAATGAAAAGAAAATGCATTTGGAAGCGTTTCTCAGCTGTGTGGACACAGAGGCAGGGCTCACCTGCATAGTATGGGCTCACCTTGAGAAATTACACATTCAGGTTTCTCTGAAAAAGATGAGATGCACAAGTCTTTAAACTAGGATGCTGGGATTACATGGAATGGTTATCTTTTTATTATACTCATTTTCCTTTCTCTGATTTTTTTTCCTGATTGGAATTTAAAATATTTATCTTTCATTATCTTCCTTTACAGAAAACAAAATATTTTAAAAAATACTTAAAATGGTGTACACTACCCAATTAGACTGTATGTTGAAGCACTGCTGACAAATGGTGTTCTAACAGTCATTGGATTATAAATAAAATTTGATGGTCAATTTTAGATAGTTAATGCAAATGGGAGCTGCAAAGGATTGTTTCAGGAAGCAGTCATTATAAACACAAAATTTTTATAACTTGCTTGTAAGACATAGGAGAACCTATAGAGAGAAAGACGCCCACATGACTCAATTTACTCTCTACCTGAGCTTTTACAAAGAGATGGGTGTCTAGTAGGTTATATGCTGTCTTTTTGTTTCTAAATTTCTCTTCAGACTTATCAAGGCCCACATGTTTTGGGCTCCCTATTTTTGGCTGTCAGTCTCTTAAACCTCTAGGGTTTTTTAACATCCTTTTCCAGGTAGCCGATGTCTAGTCATCAGTTATTTCTTTTTGTTGTTGTTGGAGTCTCATTCTGTCTCCCAGGTTGGAGTGCAGGGGCACGCTCCCAGCCACCGCAGCCTCGACCTGCTGGGCTCAGACGATCCTTCCACCTCGGCCTTCCAAGTAGCTGGAACTACAGACACGCGCCACCACGCCCAGCTAATTTTATGATTTATTGTAGAGACGAGGTCTCGCCAGGCTGGTCTTGAACCCCTGGACTCAGGCAATCCTCTCACCCTGGCCTCCCAAAGTGCTGGGATGACAGGCGTGAACCACCGCACCCAACTCATCAGTCATTTCAATCCCAGTCTCCCCAGCACGGTCAATGTGCTTGTCTCTTGTCTTTATTCGCTTCCTAATTCTCCTCTCAATCACCCTCAATCCTGAGTCTACTCAAGGACTCATTCCTGCTCTTCAACTCCTGATTTTGTTGGAGCAAAAACATTAGTTGGTAGTTGTACCCTTTTCTCCATACACTTCCCAGCCATCAAAGATTTTTTAAAACTTGGAGGCAGTTTCAATGACAGTGTCTTATTACACGTGTCTCTTGATAGCTCACAGTCTGGCAACTAGAAGGTGCTCAACAAATGACTGTATTGTTTCTGGTTTTTTGGGATTTTTTTTGAGTTGGAGTCTCACTCTGTTGCCCAGACTGGAGTGCAGTGGCCGCTCCCGGCCACTGCAGCCTCGACCTGCTGGGCTTCGGCGATCCTTCCACCTCAGCCTTCCAAGTAACTGGAATTACAAGCATGTGCTACCACACCCGGCTGATTTTTTGATTTATTGTGGAGATGAGGTCTTGCTGCCCATTTACTTGGAAACCTCTTCAGAGGAGGAGAACTGAGATTTTAAAAAAAAATTCACAGAACTGAACATTCTTATCAATTATTTAACCACAATAATACAACATTACACTTGAAATGTATTCACTTTTTAGTAAATTAATGTTTTCTGGCTTCTTAAAGGAATGATTTGCATATGTGTTAAGTTCATTAGCAATTTTAACTTATCAGAGCACAATTTTTGTTTTCTTGTTTTTTGCTTTTTGAGTTGGAGTCTCACTCTTGTCGCCCAGGCTGGAGTGCAGTGGCATGTTCACGGCCACCACAGCCTTAACCTGCTGGGCTCAGTTGATCCTTCCGCCTCAGCCTTCCAAGTTGCTGGAACTACAGACGCACGCCACCACGCCCAGCTAGTTTTTGTAATTTATTGTAGAGACGAGGTCTCACCAAGTTCCCCAGGTGGTCTTGAACCCCTGAGCTCAGGCAATCCTCTTGCCTCGGCCTCCCAAAGAGAACTCAGTTTTCAAATTAGGTTTCCTGAAGAATAAAATCATGATATTAAAAGTTCTGAAATAAGCCGGGTTCGGTGGCTCAGCCTGTAATCCCGCTCCTTTGGGAGGCTGAGGTGAGTGGA